ACGCCTACAATATCCGTTTAGCCGGCGTCGGACATTATAGTGGACACTTTATCGAGTTTGAGAAATATTTGATTTTTATTAATATAAAAAATACACGTTCGGCTCCATATTGAATGAAGTTGCACGCGAGTACAATTATTCGCAAGATGAAGAATAATTTTAGCTGTCTAAGTTGAACAGGTCACTTTCCAACGTCTCGTGGAAATTTCCAATTAATTTACTAACACGTTAATTAGTAATAAGCGTCATTAAATTTTTCGTTGTATCGCCGACAGCATAGCTTCCTTTCTTTTTTTTTCAATTAATGGCAATTTTCTTTGATGTTAACCCAATTTTCCGTACGTACGAAACTTCATCGAAGTCTAGAGAAAACTTGGCAATCCCGGTTGTTATAATTACGCGCACGGGTACGCGTTAACACAACGAATCGAATCACGATTCAATCGCACACGGTTCACACGATTCTCCGTCTAATCTAACATTTCGATCTTTCTTTCGTGCAACAACTCTGTGTTAAAAACTTTCACGGAGATGTACATATTTAAATGCTTCGAGAAACAATGCTCGAACGTATCCGATTCGTTAATTCTCTAGGGGCCGGTGCAACTTTCAAATCACACACCAATATATCGATATTTTATTAAATAATTGAACTTTTTCCCACAAGATGGTGTATGCGTCTTGTTATACTATATAATAATGTCTCCTTATTAACCAGTAACATTCTTGATAACATTTATCACCTCTATCCTGAAATGTCAATTTTATTATTCGTTACAATCAAATTGTTGAAACTACTGAATTCATTGTTAATCTGTATTTATAGGTCGATATTTGTTGATTTTACGTTACATAAATTTTTTTACAGTCAAGAAAAATATTACAGGCCCATAGAGGGTTAACTGAAAAAGATCGTACGCGCATCAGCTAGTAGTGTATCGCACAGAAAGGAGCATAACCTACATTTCTCGATATTTTTTTCTTTCTTCGATCCGTGAATCCAATTGATATTTCGAATTAACTTCCAGACCGAAGCTATGGCCACGCTTGTTGCCTAAGATTACCGAAGATTCTCTGTGATTATTCGACTGAGTTTCTCCATTTTCTTACACGCCGACAGAAACACCTCTTGCAAAAAACGGCCGAATGCATCGATTCGATTCGATCAGTCGTTCCATGAGGAAGAGTGGAGTGGAAGGACTCCAGCAGAAAGAGAAAGAGAAAGCAAAGAAGGAAGACAAAGGCGGGCGGCTGCGGTGGACGAGGAGGCAAAGCAAACCGGACGAGACGAGACGAGGGAGAATCAGATACGTAGAGAGAAACAAACATAGAGTGTGAGAGAAACAGACCAAGTTGGCAGAAATATAGTTCATCACGATTTGGACGATGCTCTCGAGTGTAAAGGAGAATTGGACTTGGTCAATTCAGTAGTAAGTCGGATCGAAAACGAAAAGAATGACGCGAGTTGACTAAACATGCATTTCGAGCAACAACGCGTCCAAACGAAGGCGAGGCGTTC